AATGGTCTTCGCTTTTTGTCTGCCCACTTTTTCATGTGTTTAGACGCCTTCTCTAGGTATGCTCGGGCCACTTCGGTGGATTGACGCCATTCCTTAGTGAAATTATAGGCTTGAGGGCTCTTGCCCACATAAGGATGGTCGACAACATGAGGTAACACAGGTTGTCGCCCACACACGATTTCGAAAGTGGTACTTCCTGTGGTGGTGCTCTTTTGGCAATTGAAACAGAATTGAACTACATCGAGCATCTGGATCCAGTTCTTTTGCCGAGCATCAATAAAGTGGAACAATGAAGAAGATGGAGGGTTCAACAGAAAATATTTCTATGGGCATCTTTATAGATGCAATGAGGGGAAAAAGCATTGCATGCGAGAAGCCACCAAAGGCGAATACCATCAGCCATCGTTTGAACTTCTAAGCCAATCCCAAGAACCCCAAGAGTAACACACTTTTACCTGAAAACTTTCTAGAACATTCACATTACAGAGCTTATACATTACGTGGAGAATGAAACTTTGTTTATGCTTTATTTATACTATGTACGGACTGTTTAATTCTATTTCGAAATCCAATTGTATATTGCTATTTTTTTTTTATGGTTCCATTCATCATATTTATACTATTTATGTTTGTCTTCAATCCATCAATCCATACTATATCTACTTTCAAAAGTTGGTATTCAGTAAGTTTTTTATGAGTACATGCTTATACTTTTTTTGTTGGATACTATTTTATATCTGGTTGTATTTGATAATCGGAGATATGATTCTCTTATGCTAATTTTTTATGCTTTCTTTTGACCATAGAGTGGCTACATAATTATACTATGTATGAACTCTTTGATTCTATGTAATCAAAATGCAACTTATATAAAGTAATTATTTGTAACGATCCTATCCGACCCCAATCTTACCCCCAAATTGGTGATGGTGTAATTTTTGACTGAAAAACAAATAATAAAATAATTCTAATGGTTTATTATCAAAAAGACAGTAAAAGCTTATAAATAAAAAAGAACAAATCAATGTCACAATGCGATTTTACATCGTCTCCGTTTGTATTCTAATCGACCACATCTACTACACTTTATTGTCAATCTCTTTTCAACAAGAGCAACAAGTTTCCTTTTTCGTGGCTTCTTCCGAACATAATCAATTATTTCGCGTGGACTACAATGTATCACGTTGTTCATGCCTAACATTGTCTTCGCACATTCACTTATCATTGTTGCAGTCGCTTGCTTATGGTCATTACGAACAACATCAATTGAACAAGTGTGCTCCGGTACGAGTTTTCTAACAATCCATAATTTACTGTCTCCATATCGAAAGGAGCGACTATACCACTTGCATGTTTCTTCGATGCACCTTACAACCAACTGTTTTTTTGTTGGATTTGACAATTTTAAATTGAAAACTCCCTTTTAATGTAATCGCATAAAGCGCCTTCGTCAATTCTTCTTTATTACAAAAAACACATAAGTCTTCCAACGTGAAATTAAAGGGAGCACAATCAAAATTAGTAGGATCCATCAAGATAAATTTCTTCCCCCTAAGGTAAACTACATTCTGAGTGGCGTTCGCACTTCCGTTGCTCCCGTAGATGGTGTTATATTCGAGGTCAGCATCCACAACTATGCAGCAGTCGCTGCATCTGACTTCCAAAAAAAGGGACATGGCCCACACCACATCATTGTCTACTGATAGCCTCATCATGATTAACTTACTTGCACCATTTCTAAACCGTGAAAGTCATTAATTTTCTTTCCTTCTGGAAAATGAAGATCTCTAGAGATGCAATCAATGAGTTGTCTTGCTCCTCCCAACTTCCACCATGTAAATTCCTGGCTATGAACAATTTCATAGTATTCCCACGTTAATTGATTTAATTTCTCAAAAAATGTAACAAAAATGGGGATTAATGAAACTTGTGTAAGAATATTTAAGAGACATTAAAAGGGTGATTGTTGTGGAATTTACTAACCAATTTGTTAAGTTTGTTATACATCTTAATTATATTATGTTGGAGACAAATTAATAATATTTTAAAATAGTTTGAATGATATAACTAGATTTAGCGGTTTGATTATGTAGATTTGGTAGTTTAGAGATCTTTCTGGTTTGGTTACGGAGCGATTTTTGAGATTTTGCGATTTGATCATGTGTTTCTCGAATGTGGGTGGCTGAAATCATGGACGGTAAAATGGAGAAAGAATACAATGACATTATGGGTATGAAATATGTGGAGAGGTAAATATGGAATTGTACCCCTCCCCAAAACTTTGGCCATTATCATTACGATATCCGACCTTACTACGATTTCCCTTTTTTTTTTTTTGGTTTAATTCGACCAAATTGCAAATGCCCGTTTTCTAGTTCCTCTCCCGGTCATATTTAAGGCTAATTTCAAACCAAAATATTTGGACTGGGCTTCAACCAATAAGTCCGTCAATGATTTTCAGCCCTCGCACTGAAATCTGGTCCGGCCCACAATCCTGTAAACAGTGATGAATGCTCTGAAAATTAAAATAATAATAAATAATAAAATATTTAGCGGAGCGGCGGTACGGAAACAAGCGTCGGAATTTTGTGGCCGAGGCAGTCCGAGACTCCGAAATGGCGTCTGGAATTGGATCTTTATGTGCCCCCATTCTTTCTCTTTCGAAGCTTCGTTCTGTTAATTATTCAGCTGATAGCAAAACTAAGTTTCTGGTCGGTTCCGCAGTTGCTTTCCCTCCGCCATCTAAGAAGTTATCAGCTTCAGCTACTGGGCTAACCGTTCGAATTGGAACTGTCAGTGTCAAGTGCAAGGCTGCGGGCCAAACCCCGCCCAACACGGTATATCAGGGAATTTACGGTCCTTGGACCGTTGATCCTTCCGACGTTCGAGAGGTTCTACTTCTACTTGCTTTCTCTTTCCTTTTCTTTTTAATTGTTTACTGTTGTTATCTCTTATAATTTGGGATTTGCGGTTGCCGTGGAAGTTGCGGCTGATTCTATGTATTAACTCCGAAATCGTGTGAATTGTATCATATTATTTTTTATCTTGGAATTTATGTCATTAACTCCGTTTAAATATGGCCTGAATGATACGAGGATCCATGAGTTCATGTTGGAGTACTATAAAAAAGTAACATAGCCGCTTCTTTCAGCAATCAGCATCCTATCGAAAAAAATATCTTTCGTCTTCTTCTACGCCCTTCATTCACCGTTTCTAATCTTTTGGTTGCAGGTCTTTAGTCCTAAACATAAGTAGCGCACTATCACCAAAAACATTTCCAGGCTTGTATGAAATATGAAAACGTGTACAGACTAATTCAACCTTGATATTTTTAGTTCTTATTATTGTATAGAAAAACTACACAATTTGAACAGTAGCTCGAGAGAAAAAGAAAGATAGAGGAAATACGTGGAAGTATACAATTTCGTTCAATAATTGTTCCAAATAAATATACATTCTAATGCTAAAAATAGACTCAACAATCTCCACAATCAGCAACTTACTCCACTAACTCCACAAGGACAACTTAATTAACTTGACTACAACTAAAAATAACACCACCAACTTCCTAAAAACTAGGACTTGGACTAGACCAATTCAAAACTAGTGATCTTGAGTTAACTAACAATATTACTTGTCAAGTAGGTGATTTTATGTTCATATTTTCTTGATTGCATGAACATTTTTTATATTTGTGAGTGTTCTAGCCAGTTTGTGCGCACCTTGACTAATCTCATGGGACGACTGGATGACCCTATTACATTTTGTTGTCAAGCAAACTCATAGGGTACTAAATCCTAGGTAGGTGGTCACCATAGTTTAATCCTACTCTCTAAATTCTTTAGTATTTACCTTGGACTACTAGGCCAACTCATGAGAGTGTGTTGTCTAGAATTTTCTAGTAGCTCTTAGTTCATATTTTTGTAGCGTACCTAATGTCGTATCATCCAAGCCTCTTTACAGACAAGATCATGGTGCCTAGCTCAATAATTGAATATGATTTGTCGAAGTGCTTAGTTGTCCTTTACTGGGCTTTGTTTGATGACCATTTCGTTTTCAACTTTTTGTTTTTAAAAATTATACTTGTTTTCTCAGAATTTCTTTGGTAGGTTGTTCACGTTTTGGAAAAACACATTTGAATTCTTAGAAAAATTTAAAAAATAAAACTATTTTTTTTAGTATTCAAATCTTGGCTTAGATTTTGAGAACGTTCTTAGAAAATAGGTAACAAAATAAAGAAAAATGTGGAAGTAGTGTTTATTGAAAACAGAAAATAGAAAACAAAATGGTTATCAAATGACCCTAATAAATTGGAATTTGATGTGTATTCAATACTCATTGGAGAAGACAGTCTCATGTAGTTGAACCTGCGTAGACAGTCCCAAATATTTCAGTGATAATTTGCTTACTGTGGCAGGTGATTTTGTATAGAGCGGGCCTAGTGACAGCTGCTACCTCTTTTGTGATAGCTTCATCAGTTGCTTTTTTACCCGATACCTCTTCATTGAGTGACACACTTAAGCAAAATCTTGATCTGTTATATGCCTTCGGTGGAGGAGGATTAGGCTTATCCCTAGTTTTGATTCACATATATGTTACGGCAATTAAGCGCACTCTTCAAGCTTTATGGGTGCTTGGTGTTGCTGGATCTTTGGTAACTTACATATATCTTGCACAACCAGCTGGGGATGGCTTAGTGCAGTATGTTGTTGATAATCCATTGGCAGTCTGGTTTATTGGTCCTCTATATGCAGCACTGACTGGACTTGTCTTCAAAGAAGGTATCAAGTATTTCTTAATATCTTACAGGCTTTAAACTTAGTATTTGAGTCTTTAATATTGTATCAATGAAGCAAGCAAATAATAAGGAAGAAGATATTGAGGGTTGGACTTACTTTGCTTGTTCAGCATGTAGAAATTAGATTATTAATTATTAATTACATTGCAGAGGTTGTTATGATATTGGATTATTTAGTTTCAGGGTTCTGTCTCTTCATGGCCTGGCTTTTTCCCCCTTCTAGTCATTTTTTAAAATATAAAAACAACCTGTGGTGTATGGCATCTGAAATGCAGTGAGACATATATTTCAATCTGTAATATCAACTGGTTATGCATACTTTACGATTAGTGTCACTGTCAGTTTTACTTTTCAACACTTTCTTATCCTCTATACGTAGGGCTTTGCTATGGAAAGCTTGAGGCTGGAGTTCTCACCTTTGTCATACCTATGCTGCTTCTAGGGCATCTGGTAAGGTTCAACATTCACTGTTTTCCTATAAGCTAGACTTCTCTAATAAGGAGTTTGGCATAATATGACATGTATGGATAAGTTTTCAAACCTGGGTACCTCAACGCCTTGTACTGTTTGTGTGCATTATTTTGATCTGAAGGAATGTGCAAGGTTTTCACAAACCTGTGACGGCATAATGGACCAAATTATTAGTTTGAAACGGCAGTTTCTTTCTTCTAGTGTTAAAAGTTACTCTAAAAAATGCCCTTCTATGAATATGGAGAGCTGTATTTGTAAATTCTTGTCTCCTGATAAATTTCTATTAAACCTAAACTAAAAAGGATGCTGGAGCCTTTGAACTATCTGCAGTAGAGAATTTTTATTATGCTAATTTAGATTTTTCAATTTGTTATGCCAACATCTAAATAAGAAAAACATTCACTATCACACTTTTTATTTTTGTATGTTAAATGACTGTTACACGCTCAAAAGCTTAGACTAGATTTAAGCATATATCACAATTGTCCCTCACATATGTAGCCCGCATATTTGTTTTACTTATGAGGCTCAACATGTGAATAACTTAAGGTAAAAGTAGGGAGAAATTAATTTTATAGAAATATAAATATATCATCTCCTATTTTTAATAATATATTAAATTACCATTAAAATCAAAATCTCAAACTGTCGAGTTTTAAATTTATTTACTTTTTTATTCTATTTTGATAGGAATGCGTTTAGTAATTAGGTATTAAGGATATATTAGTAATTGTGTTAGGAGGTTTGATTATAAATGGAGTATAGAGAAAGGATGAAGGTAGGCGATTCGTGAGTATGGTTTAGGCTTGAGTAAGAATACTCAAGAGGGGGAAGGTCCAGTCCAATTACCTTGAATCACTGGGTAGTTATTGTAGTTCTTATACTTTTTTATATTTCAATATATTGTTAGTTGTTTGGGTTCTATCACATTTCTGGCATTTTTCTTTCATTATTGAAGGAAATTAATAGTGTATTACCAAACTGTTGAGATTTGATCTTATACTGGGTTATAATACAAGTTGGATTCTGTTAGGCCTCCAATCCTAAAAGTTAATTCTAGGAGGGGGAAATATGGGGAAATACTCTTCTGACAGTTAGTTGAATTTGGAATAGTATTTTGTGGTGGATGTCGGGCTTAGGATAGCAGGGCAGTTATCATTCTGGGTAAGGTACTAGAGTTTTGGAGAGCCACCAGCCCTCTCGAATTGGCTGGATAGCATGTAGTAGGGCGGTTTTCGAAAGTATAGTGCCTAATTCACTAACTCGTAGGGAGATATTGAACTTTTGTATTTGAAAAAAGTTTCAGGGGTGATGATCTCTAAAGTAGATGATGGTTGATAGAGTAATCCTTAATCATAATTTCCAGAATGAGTACTTGGGCCAACATGAAATTTGTGGTTGGTAGTAAAACACCAATTCTCCTCTTGAGACTTAATTCGATCTTCGATCTCCTTACATAAATAAGACTCTAGATACCTAACAGATTACAAAATTTATTCTTTATATTACCATTGTATGTGGAAATCTATAATTTTGTATCTTAGTTAGACTAATGCTTTACGAAAGCTAGCTGAAGTAAAAAATCTTTCCGGAATTCAAATTTTAAGGATTTTTTAGAGGGTGACACTCGCAATGTGTTCAATTATTATTATTATTTGAGCCATAGACCTAAGATCTCTTTCTAGCGCTTGACCCTGTACACAGTACACTGACCTTTTGACCGACTTTACTTGAAATGTGCAGACTGGTTTGATGGACGATGGAGCTAAACTTGCTCTATTAGGTTCGTGGATGGCCCTTTTTGTGATATTTGCTGGAAGAAAGTTCATTCAACCCATTAAGGTAATAAGCTCATGAACATTCTTTGAATTACTAAAGACTCCTCCATTCGATAACCATTTGGTTTAAAAAAATTAAGCTTACAAACACTATTTCTACTTTCTTTTCGGTAAACACTTTTATCTTTCTATTTGTTTAGTTATCTATCTTTAAAAAAAAAATCACAAAATCTAAGCTAAAATTTTAAAACTAAAAAAAAAAATGGTTTTAAAAACTTGGTTCCATTAGCATGGGCACGGTGCCTTGGGGCGGCAAGTGTGGGTGTCCCAGTTATAGGGGTAAAAAGTTAAAGAACCATTGATTCTAGGGTTATCAAAAAAAAAAAAAAAACGGGGGACACCCTTGGTTCTGTTTGTAAAATTTGTCTTTGAATTAAATTTTTTAAGAAAACAAAGAACCTGAGGCCTTAGTGTTGGGTTCCTTTAGGAATGAAGTTTTAATACCATTTTTTCTGATTTTTAAAAACAAAAGTTACTTTTAGATTAAAAACTCATTTGTATTGATTTTTTTTAAAACTAGTTTTAAAAGGATAAAATGGAGAAAAACATTTTGTCGTTTATTGTACAGTATAGTATAGCATACAGAAACCTAATCATATTAGAAAGGGTAGAAAGCTGCAATGGAGTTATTTTGAAATCCAATTTTGGAAATACAGATACTAACCAAAACCATCAGTATGTAGAACATTTCATTGTTGCACTGTGTAACTGGTTTCTTATTTGTTTTCAGGATGATATCGGCGACAAATCTGTTTTCATGTTCAATGCACTCGGAGAGGATGAAAAGAAGGCCTTGATTGCAAAGCTTGAGCTGCAAGAGCTTAGTCAGAGTGCTGATTAGAACATTAGCAAGACGATACTCAGCAGGAGGAACTATTGTCAGTCAAGGAGTCTTACCAGGTGGTATGTCTATACTTTCTTACTGCAGCCTGTATTATAATTTATAGTTTATACAGAACGCTACTAGGAGCTGTACATATTATTTTTGCTCTCTGTCTACCTTGGCCTTGTTTCGCCTTTTCATCCGCTGGAACACAAATGACTAAATGAGAACATAAACCCTGTTTTGTTTGCGCTCTGGAGAAAATTAGCAAGTATGGGAGGGATTGTTGTTGTATACTTGTGAATTCCATGCCATTTTAAGTAATAAAAATGAAGATAAAAACTTGGAGTGTAATTTATTTAATTTCCCAACAAGTTCACGCAATGAGCAACAAAGAAGGAAGTTTTAGATTGCAGGGAGAAGGGGGGCCCTTAGAGCTCCGTCTATGACAGGTAAATTCTTGTGGTTGGGAACCCCGTTATGGAGATGAGCTCCCTTGCCGTCAAAGCAGTAGACGGGGGCTTGCCATTTCTCATCTTCCAGCACAGCTCCGACTTCAAACGTCATGACATGAGCCTGCCTTCCTGCAGTCAAAAAGTGGGAGCCCTTAGGCCAGGTAAAGAAAGAGTAGTAGAGTTGAGCGGAAGAGGGGGAAATTTTACCAGTGTAGAAGAGCCAGTGAACTGGCCTTTTGGTGTCGACGTCCTCGTAATACCAGATGAAGTCGACCTTCTCCCAGACATTGCAGAGGAATCCATCGACATGGCGGTGACCCAGATAATTGGCCCCGTCGAGCCAGTTGGGGCGAAGAATACCCACCTCCAACTGAGAGGTAGAGCAAGTCTTGGAGGAGTCCAAAGTGTAGACAAAGGAAGTCCCGTTGTTCCACTCAAGGTCGTAGACAACATTGCCGAGCTGGTGCTGGATGATGTTGAAGTTGCGGCCATTGGGCCAGTCGTACCAGAGGTCGATTATCTGGAGGATCCCGCTGTAATTCATCAAGAGAACGGAGTGAAATTGGAGAGGCCATGGGACCGGAACGGGGTCCTCTGAATGGCACACGCTCACCCTCAAACTACTAAGCAATGAAAGGATAAGGAACAGGCTCGTCTTCGCCTTGGTTGCTGTGGAAGCCATGCCTTCTGCCTTCTGCCTTCCAGTTCCGGGTTCTCTCTTACTCTCTCTTGCCCTTGCTTCTGGCTTCTAGTCAACTTTATCTTCATTCTCGCTCATCCGCCCGATTCTTTCTCGCCCACCAATTGTGCGGTGCGGTGCGTATTTTTCCCAATTTATCTGTCAGGGACGGATTCACGTGGGATTTATAGTTTATTATATCTAAGAAAAAATGTTGTGTGGCGATGTGATTTTCCTCCCTTCTAAATTCGTGTCTCATTCTTATCGTCCTGTGTTCATGCCGTAGTTAGTGCACTTTTTTATATCCTTAACATAGTATCGAGTGAGAGGTTTTGTACAATTATCCAAATCGATAAATGAGGGGAATGTTGAAAGTCCATATATGAATTAAATTTACTTAATCTATCAACTTAAACTTTTTGGTTGAGCGGTAGTTTAATTCTTCTTAATAGACAAGAATTGAGAGAGAGAGAGCAGTATTCTTGATACTCAATCACTCTATGTTAACCAACTAGTTGGATTGGATAAGACTTATCCAACCAAAGAAAACGGAGAAAAATAAAATTCTCCTTTTGGTCTACGGTGCTAATAGGCTTAATTTGTAAGTACGGTTGCTTTCTTCTAGTGCAGGTTTCATGTTTTTCCATTTTGAGGTAATCTTTCCCTACATCCATCTCATTTTCAGATTCTGAGGGTGATTAATATAAAAATGAAAATTAGAGATTAATATGCTAAAAAGAAAGAAGGTTAAGTATAAATTTCATTTGCCTAAAATTCAAATACAAAGGAAATGACATGGGAAAGCAGACATGGGAAAGAGGAAACAAGGGCATCTTCAGAGGAGAAACGGTAGATTGAACAACAATTAGGCACATCAATTG